TTTATGGCAATTTTTTTTTTAAAAGACGATTTAACAGAAAGTAGGTAGCCATTTGGATCAGGTAACCTTAAAGTAGTTTGCAGTATGCTGTTCTCTTCCTATTCTATGATCCTGGCAAAGCACAGGCCATCACCCAATTGACAAAATACTGCAGTGAGTCTCTGAGTCTCTCACTTCGTGCTGCTATCAACCACAGTTAATGAGGTAGAAACACGGTGCTCTAGGAACTTGACTCATGCTATAAACTAGACGAGGTCCTTGAAAGCAGCATGAAGGGAAAAACTATGCAATGATGTCTCCTAAATCCAGTTCTAGTCCAAATTGCTCTTCCAAATTTCAACTCTGCATTTCCAATTGCTTATCCTTACCCATACTGTTTATGTGTCAAAGTCATCCTCTCAATTCCTCGTTTCGCCAAATCATTTGCCTTTCTTGTGTGTACCCTATCTCCTTTTGTAGTGTCATTATTGACCAGACTGCCCACGTAAGATACGGAGTGAGGGGATGTGCCAGTTCTCCTGTCTCCACGCTCTGGCCATTGCCCTAGCTTCCTAACTCTAAATGAGAGGAAATGGTAATGCTCAGCTATTTGCTCAGAGCCTAAAATATCAATTACACTGCATTTAACTGGTAATTGAGGTGTGTGCTACAGGTCCACGTCCTGACCACTTTTTATTTTCTTCCCCATTCCAGGCAACAAAAAAAGATTATCTCTTGAAGCCTCACCTTCTTCCTCTTCTCTCCTGTGCTCAATGTGGCCATAGCCAAGTTATAACATATCTCAATGCCTCTGTTCCCTTATCTGTAAAATGGGAATGATGATAATGTCTACTTCATTAAGCAGTTTTGAAAATTAAATAGGTTTCTCTGTCAAGTGCAGAGAACAGTACCCAGTACATAGTAAACTGCAATATCAGGGGTAAGATGCAGAGAGTTTTTGTAGCTTCCATTTTGCATGGTAGACAATCCTAAACTTTCCTGCCTTTTTATAGTAAGTGGATTTGGGCTGATTTGGTCCAGGTGGCCTCTTTTCTCTCTTCTCTTCTCATATATTCTTTTCCCTGAGACTGAATGAAGTCAGACCATCCAAGATGGAGAAAGGACCTCTAGCCCAAGCTTTATTCCACAATTCTGACAACAGAGTAATTTATTAGATATAATCAGATATCTGCTCAGCTACTAACAAAGTACCATATTTTGCTATGTAAAATGTGCACTTTTTTGCCCAAAGTTTTGAGGGAAAAATAAGGATGTGCATTATACATGGGTAGTACTAATTCTGTATCTATATAAAAGTTTTTAATTTTTTAATATATGCTTATGTGTTAAAAGTATAACTCTAGAAAGCAATAATAATATCCATGTGCAAAATAATACCCTGGAATACAATAATCAGTTTCTAAATAGAAATATAAATAAATAAATATTTAAATAAATAAATAATTGAATTTAAAAATTAAGTGAAAGACTTTTCCCCCCCCCTGAAAGTTTGGCCCAAAAACATGGGTGCGCCTTATACAAGGCAAAATACGGCGATACTTTGTTTATCCATCCCACTCATGTTCCCTCACGTGCACAGAAGCCATAGTTTAGAACCTATGAGGAGACAGAGTAGGATTTGAACTGAAAACCCTGCCCTGAACTTCTCACGCAGGAACCTCTTGGTCACCCTTAATCAGTCTCTCACTTGCCTTCAACATTGCTGACACTAAATCCCACGTTTTAAAGTTTTTAAAAAAGATTTATTTATTTGTTTTTAGAGAGAGGGAAAGGGATGGAGAAAAACAGGGAGAGAAACGTCAATGTGGGAGATAAACACCTGCACACCCCCAACCAGGGGCCCGGCCCACAACCCAGACACGTGCCCTGACCGGGACTCGAACTGGCAGCCTTTTGGTCCACGGAGTGATGCCCAATCCACTGAGCCACACCAGTCAGGGCCAAATCCTACTCTTAAGAATCTCTCCTCCTTTTCTTATCTCAGGTTTTTCACCTCTTATCTGGACTACTGCACCAGCTACCACATCTGCATCAGAATTGGATTTAGGATGCATCATTGCACCAGCCACCACAGGGATCTGCCTGAAATCTCTGCCTTCATTACAATGGCTCCTGACTACCAGGGCTCTGTTTCTAATCCAAATCTTACCGTTTCTCGCTAAAAACCCCTCAGTGGTTTAACAGTGGGGCTCAACCTTGGCTGAACATTAGAATCATAGAGATTAAATCAGAATCACTGAGATGGGGCCCAGAAACAAGTATTTTTTAAAAGCTCTCAGCTGATTCTGATGTGCAACTAGGGTTGCAAACCCTTTTTTACATCTTTAATGAAAATTTAGAAATTCAATGTTACAGGCAATTTTTTTTTAGAGCAGGTTAAACATATGACCAATAATTTTAAACTACTGATGACAGTTCATGTGGAAGGTGACAGCTCTGAAGCAAGCTGACAGCAATACTTTAAGTTCTAGACAAGTCAAGCATGGAAAAACCTCAAAAGTAAGGGGAGAAATAAAAGAGAAGTATAGATATTTATGAAAGAACAAACATGTATAAATAAATGTATTTCATGGAGAAGATGAATGAAAGATGACAAGATATTAAGATATTTCAGAGCTGGAGCAGAGTTATCAAGGAGTGAGCAGAGAACTGCAAGTAAATGTAGTGAATAAAGATATTATTTAAATACTAGGCTGCAAGATGACTGAGAAAGACTCTAAAGCAGCAGCTGCTAGGCCACAATATGAAAAGAACATAGGCAGAAAGTTCCAGTCCCTACTCTATCTTTGCCACTTATTACCATCAGTATATTCTTAGATAAGCTAATATTTAACTTCGCCATACCTTGTCTATAAACTGGGGATAAAACCTATCTCACAGGATAATTGGAGAATTTAATGAGGTAAATACATATATGAAAACCTCCAGCATACGTTAATGCTCCATGTTTGTTGACTGTTTCTCTTTAAAGTAGTAACAGAATGAAATGCAAAGGGAAAAAAATTAAATATATTTATATATATATACACTCAGAAGACAAACTTTGAACTACTGTTGTGCCAGTAGGATAGGCAACAGAACTTTGAGATTTTTCTAGTTTCACATGACAAAATTTGATGTTAGCTCAACTCCATGAAGGTGATCCATTAAAAGAATTATTCCAAAACAAGTAACGCTATGTCTGCACTTAAAGTACGCACAGTTGGCCTTAATTATCATGGCGCTGAAATCAACATTATATTGATTATCACTGCATTAAAACATTTCAATAAACAAATAGCTCCTTACTCCCAAGTCACTCCCAGTCAATCTATTAACATTAGTAATTGCATTTTCCTGAGCTATTTTAGCACAGAAAATCAAAAGCCCTTTGGGTGGCAGTTACATGTTTTTATAAACATAATTTTGAAAGGTCAGCTGCTTTTTGTCCCTGAGTTAAATTCAGGGGTGGGGACAGGTTACAGACTAATTCTGTTAGCAAAGACTCTTTCCACACTCTCCATGCATATTCACGCATGCTGCATTTCAGTTGCCACTCCATTAAACTAAGTAGACTCTGGAACACTTATCTTAGAAGTCCTACGTTAGGAAATGGTGTTTTGACTTTTTGAAATATCCTAGGTTTGCTGAAACTGAACTGTTTATTACATCTCATTAAAATTTACTTTCTTTTCCCGGGTTCAGAGGCAGAACTCATACCTACAAGGAGGCCTATTGGCCACACTTAGGGTTGTTCTGTGATTCTCAAATGGCATTTGCAAGGTGGACCATTAGAGAGAGACACAGAATAAGATTTTCCTAAAGAACCTCTATACAACACATGGGAAAAAAGGGGTGGGGTTAAAAATACTACACATAATGGAAAGAGGGCTGCCTGAGATAGCATGATTTTGTTTTGAGTTGTAAAGACTATGAAAGAGAACAATAGTGTCTGCCCAGTTCCCTTGAGGAAGAAGAAACAAGGTAGCTGAAAGAGCACTGGCCTGGAAGCTATGAGACTGGGGCTCTGTTCCCAGCTCTGCCATTAACTAGCAGCGTGGACTGAGGACGGTCATAGCCATCTCTGCAGCTGATATTTCTAATCTGCAAAACAAGGGTGACAAAGCAGAAGAGGATTTCCAAGTCTTTTCTAGCTGCAAACACCAGTTAGCTAGCTGTTTTTGATCTTTTTTCCAGCCCAGCATACAGGCAGTGACTCTGAAGTCCCCGAAGCCTGTATCAGAAGCCCCTGCAGGGCAGAGTGGGTGTGGCGACTGGGATAAGGACACGCCTGCCACTTTGCAGCCGGGACTCTGCTCCTGCAATCTCTACACCCATTTGCAAGTCGCCAGGCTCCTTGATCTCAACTGAGAGATGCCACTCATTACAGGAGACACAGCAGGCAGCGGCCCCGTGTGGGCAGGGGGACGAAGAAGCGGCGAGCAACCAGCTTCCCCATCGAGGAAGAACTAAAAAATGTCAGAGTTGGAAGCACTGGAGATTCCAGTTGGCAAAACCTCTAATTCTATGCAAAGGATACGGAGTCCCTGAGAGGAAAACTGACTGACAGGAAAATAACCATCAGGTTTGTGTAACCAGGTTAGATAAATACTCAGGACTCTTGACTCCAGGGCCAGTGCATGGCTCACCACCCCTCTACGATCAGAGTTCACAGACATTTATGTCAAATGATCTGGCTTTCTGAGATGGTCTAGTCAAAGAGGTAAGAGTTCCACCTGTTCCTTAAATTTTTATCTTTCATGTATTAAAAAAAAAAAAAGGAGAGAGCGAGGGACTATCAAGGGGTACTAGATAGTACCAGTAAATTGTATGGCAGAAAAATAACTTGCTTCAGTGGTATTCTATGACCTCCAGTTATATAAGCAATTCAGGTGAAATTAAAAATACATACATACATATATACATACATACATACATAAACTTCCTCTCTAACCCAACTCCCCGTCATTCCCTCGGAGCGTGCATTTAGTCAGGTTCTGATCATCTGGGAGTTTCCTTACCATCCCAATGCAGAAGAGGATAAAAAGCAGCAGCCACGGTATGTCTGTGCAGCTACGATCCTCCAGTGGCTTCCATTCTCGTTTGGAGCTCTAATTGAAAATACAAAAGGAGAGAGTGGTAAATGTTACATTCAGTTAAAATTAGGAAAGCACGAACAAACCTACCATTTATACCTAGATCCCTTCTTTGCCTGACAAGTTTCTATTGAACCTTTAAGGTGCAACTTCCACATCTATCACCTTTCTGTGAAGTTCACCCTCACTCCCACCCTTCTTCCTGGCCAGGCAGAGAACTGATTCCAATGCCACCTCTAGGAGAGTCCGTAGCATGCTGAACGGTCATCTGCTAAGCTGTGTCAACAGACCATGACCTTCGCAAGAGACCACTTCTCATTTCAGCATCTAACATGGTGTCTGAGGGTTCATGACAGATACTCATTGTGGGGTTTTTAGTATGAAAAAACAAATGAACAAATTCTTCCAATGTCAATATTAGTGGTAGCTTTTTCTTAGTGTGTCCAGATGCCAAACTTAAAAATGTAGAATGTGCCTTGGCTGGTGTGGCTCAGAGAACTGAGTACCAGCCTGTAAAACAAAGGGTCACGAGTTTGATTCCCAGTCAGAGCACACGCCTGGGTTGTGGGCTATGTCCCCAGAGCGGGGGGAGGGGGGAGCAGGGCACATGATATGTCTCTTCCTCTTTCTCCATCCTTTCCCCTCTCTCTAAAATGAGAAATAAATAAATGAAATCTTTTTAAAAAAAATTAGAATGTGCTTTGTATATGTTCTCTCCTAGGAAAGAAGCCCATTAAAATAATTTCTATTCAGAGGTAGATTTTTCTAAGTCCTATGAAATTCAGGGAGAAATACTAACTTAATACAATTTTACAGACAGATCTGGGCAACTATGAAATCACCACCCATAAATTTTCATTCTCTTTCTGGAAAATGTCAAGAGTTTCTATATCAAACACAGAGTTTGCCAAACTAAAGAACTAGAGGAATTCTAAGAGTTAATTTGCACAGTATTAGATTGGAATTTTGATTACATTTTTTCTTATAGCTACTATCTTAGATTCTCAAATCACTCGAGGTTTCTAATGAACAAAAATCCCTGACTCTCATACACTCTCCTAGAAACAGTAAGCAGAGAAAGGAGAGAGAAGGCAGCCTTGGGAAACCTATGGGAAAAAGTTCCTGCAAAAAGAAGGCTGTGGCCTCTAGTGGCTTCCATGACAAGATCCAGGAAGCCATCTGGGGAAGGCTTGTCAGTAGGGAGGGGCACAGGAAGAAGGAGGCTGGAGATAAGGCAGTCCTCTAGTATAATTTGAATTTAGAGTGCAAGAATGGGGAACCAGTCCTCACTCAGGTTTGCTTAGCTTTTCCTCCCTCTAAAAACAATGGTTTTTAATTATATACCCTTTGATAAATTGATGAAAGCTGCAGATGCATTTCTTGGGAGGTAAGCATATATTTGCATAGTTTTCATAAATATTTAGGCAATTTAGACTCCAGGTTAAGGAACTCAACCTTTAATACCCGCCTGTCAACATTAAGGGCAGAGAGTTTGAATTCCAACTACTTCTTCCTGACCCCTTAGGTGCTAACTAGACAAATGCCTCTTCCTGGTTTAGTGCCTTACATGGTTCAGTTGCTCAACAACAGCAGCAAACACACACCACCCTTGATAGCTGGCTCCCAGACACCCACACAAGAAAACCAAAGAGCATGAGTTAGTCATGGAAAAAACCTTACCCCAAGACTCTAGCATTAAAAACCAAGAGTGAGTAGGCAGTTTTTTCCAGAGGAATGTAACATTATGGCAAATGGATAAGGGACTCTGCTCTCTCCCTGGCTCTGTCATTAGTTAGCTGCATGGCTTTAGAGGAGTTGCTTCATACCTCTGCGTAGCAGGAAGGAATGAGATTGGATCTTGTACGTTCCTTCCAACTCTAAAAATCTATGATCAGGAATGCAGGTTTGTGAAAATTTTTGTTATGACAAGAAAAAGAACTGTAAAAATAATTTGACATTATTCCTTGTGTTATTCAAATAAGAACGCCTATATTATGGGCTGTGTTTTGGATGACAGTTGCTCACAGTATGAATAAGGAATGTTTCTTTATATTAAATAATTTCGATCTCAAATAATACCCATTACGGTAAAATTACTTAGAAACACAGAATTTGGACACCTCTTTGAAATGCATTATATTTACTCAAAGGTAATTTTCAGAGCAACAGTTACTTTAAAATACTACATTTGTTTATCTTAACAAACCATATGTATATGAGGGGGGCATGAAGGGCCTCATATAGATTGAGCACTTTCTTTAACCAAACTATTTTTGTAATATTTTTTGCCTCAGACCAACGTTCAATTTTCAATGCTTTGATTTTCACCTGTAACATAAAGAAAGTAGGGTTTCAGCCTCAACCAGGAAAAAACACAAAGATTCAACATCTCAGCAATTCATTTCAACTTACTATGGGCCACTTCTGGGCCAAATACACAGAGAACCTGTCAGTGGGGATGAGAAATGGAGAGGGGATAGGGGTTACATATAAAACGTAGTGGCAGAAGACAAAGTAGAGTGGAGGAACACAAAGGCTGGGGGTGGTCACCCTCACTAAGATGAAGAAAAGCTTCTTAGATGGGAGGCAGCTGACTTCATAGGGCTGGTGTGAGGATTAAATGTGAGCACCTGTCACATAGTAAACACTAATTCTTGGCAATTATTCTCATTCAGCAACCCTTTTCAGTTAATCCTCTCCCTATTGTTAAACTATCCTTTCCACTAGAAGGAATAAAAAGAAAGTAAAACTTGCCTTTCCCCATATATTAACTAAAAATTTAACTAAAAATAATGGTGGCAAATTTCACTTTAGCTACTCTTTTAATGCTATCGGTTACTGATCACTACTAACTAGGAATTATACCCAAAACTTTACATACTATTATGTATTCTACCTTCCAAACAGCTCCCTGATGTAGGTGTCATCCCCATTTCACAGATAGAGAAAATTCTGGCTCTATAGTTAAATAATCAGCCCAAGGTTCACAGCTGTGCAATCTGAATTTGAACCCAAGTCAGTGACTGCAAAGTCAAATCCAGTGAGACTATCATTCATTTGCACTAGTCAGTAAAGAGCAAAAACCTCCATTGATTTTTTTTTCTCACATTGAAAAATGTGGGTGCCAATCCAGTAACTTAAAATCCTATAGGTACAGGAAGAGAAAATGAGATGTTTTATGAACCATAAAATTTCTCAAGCGAGTCAAGAAACTCAACTGTTAACAAATTTTAATGATTCTTTAACAGATTTAACCAAGTGGCAACTGCATTCAATGCTGTCTATTTCTTCTTCATAAAATCCACATAGAGCTGGCAAAAGTAAAATGTTTTGCGAAAGCATTTTTAAATGTGATTTTTATCCCTTTATAAAATTCTACATGAGATTAATATAGGATGTCAATAAATGTTAGGTCCTTTCCACTTTATAGAATCATACAAGTTAGGAACTAAATAGGACCAAAGTAATCAGAGTCCAAGCCTTTCAATAAGAGTCACTGAGACTCGAGGGAGGGAAAGAAGGGACTTGCCAAAAGAACCTCATTTGATCCTCAAAACAATTCTGTTAGTTATTATTCTATATTCCCAATTTTTTTTTTTTTTTTTTAGTTCGTGAAAGAGAGGTTCAGGGAAAATAAGTGGAAAATCTATATCTGAAACCTGAGTTTTCACACTCTGGCAGAGAGCTGGAAACTGTAAGAAAGAGTTAAAGAAAATGCTGAAAATAAAGAAAAAACATGGTAACAGAGATAAAGCATGCATGGTCAGGCTCATCAGTAGAATAAACATAGCCAAAGAAAGAATCAATAAACTCAAGGATAGGTCAATAGGAATTATTCAAAGTGAAACACAAAGCACAAAAAAAAAAAAAAAAAAAGTGAAAATTTGAAACCCAGAACAGAGCATCCAAGGATTAAAGGACAATACCAAATCATCTAACATATGTGTAACTGGATCCCCAGAAGGAGAAGATAGAACGGGGCGGACAGAATATTAGATGAAATAATGGCTGAGAATTTTCCAAAATAACAAAAGAAATCAAAGCACAGACCCAAGAAGCTCAGAGAGAATCCCAAGAAGGATTAATACAAACAGGATTAACACACATACATGCAAGAGTGCACACATATACATACTACATATACTTTAACTGTTGAAAACCAAAGATAGAGATCATCTTGATGGCAGCAAAAGGGGAGAAGAGACACATTATAGAGAGAAGCACAAATTAAGCAAACTTCTTGTCAGAAACTATACAAAACAAAACAAAAGCAAAAGCAAAAAACCATGGAATGACATCTTGAAACTACTGAAAGAATTTCTTAAAAGATTTTATTTATTTGGTTTTAGAGAAAGAGGAAGGGAAGGAGAAAGAGAGGGAGAGAAACATCAATGTGTGGTTGCCTCTTTCATGTCCCCACTGGGGACCTGGCCCGCAACCCAGGCCTGTGCCCTGACTGAGAATGGAACCGGCGACCCTTTGGTTTACAGTCCAGCACTCAGTCCACTGAGCCACACCAGCCAGGGCCTGAAAGAATTTTTCAAATCACTATTTACACCCAGAGAAAAAGTGTCTCAGAAATGAAGACTTTTTCAGACAAACAAAACCTAATAGTGTTTATTAGTAGCAAACCAAAATTACAAAAACTGTTAAAGTTCTTCAGGCAAAAATAATAGGATACCACACAAATTTGGATGTACACAAAGAAATAAAAATTTCCAAACATATGTAAAATGAAGGTTTAAAATTTTCTACAATAAAGGTTTTTTTAAATTTAAAAAATAAGGGTATGAATATGTTTATAGTGACATTCACTTTATGTAGTCTTTTTGCACACTTAAACAGGGTAATAATGTAGAAGGCAGAATTATAATTTTTCATAGACTATAAAAAACATTAAAAAAATTCTAAGTCAGAACACAGCTGACATCTTCTTCATGTGTTTAACATTTTCACTACTTTGAAAAATGTAACATTTTGCATAGCTTCAATAAAAAAAACAAAACAAAACCTTC